AGGGGAGACATGAGAGCAGTATTCCAGTACTTGAGGGGCTGCCACAAAGAAGAGGGGGTCATGTTATTCACCAAAGCACCAGAGTGCAGGACAAGAAACAATGGTTGGAAATTGAACAAAGAGAGAAGCAACCTGGAATTAAGGAGAAACTTCCTGACAGTGAGGACAATTAACCAGTAGAACAGCTTGCCTCTAGAAATCGTGGGCGCTCCATCACTGGAGATTTTAAAGAAGAGGTTAGACAGTCATTTGTCTGAGATGGTAGAGGTTCTACTACTTGAGCGGGTGGCTGGATTAGAAGACCTCCAAGGTCTATTCTATTCTATTCTATTCTATTCTATTCTATTCTATTCTATTCTATTCTATTCTATTCTATTCTATTACAAAACACAGCTTAACTTGGAACAGCTTCCATTTTCCAATGATATATTTAATACCATCAATCAGTACCATCTACCTATTCCAGGTCTTTGGGAAGGACTAGACAGGTATATAAAAATGCTAAATTCAGTCCGAACATCTGGCTGACTGTGCAACAAAGCGTAATAATTGGAATAAACAGCAATAAAATGCTTTTTAAAAGGAGATGGAATTGAATCTGAAAATGGATTTGTACTATTAAGCATTATCATCTTGCCAAATGAAGAGTTCTGGAAAACTCTTGAAAGCTTGTGTTGAAGGAAAAGTCTTTCTCAGGGTCCAGTCCAAGCCAGGAATAAACAACATGATGACTGCTTTAGAAAGAAGGTTGTAGTTTATTGAAGAGGAGAGCCAGACAAAAAGATGGCTCTGGAAGAAAAGAGAGAACATATGTAGTAGGGAGGGGCTTTTGTTTGGAGTTGTTCCTATGTCATGAACTTTGACCTGAGTCTGAGTGTGCCTTTCTAATGTTCTGATGGTGGTAGATTAATCATATTATGTCCTGTCTTAGAGTTTGGATGGGGTATGTAGATTTTAAGGGTCTTTGTCTTCCTGATCTCTTCAGCTTCTAGTTGGAGGGCTCCAACCTTCCTGAATGGATTATTACATCTGCATTTCTAAAAGCTGGTTTCTACTGAGTTGTCTGGCTGGGGTGGGGTGGGGTGGGGTGGAGAAGTTTTTGCCTTTAAAATCCTTTGGGGAAATATATTCTGCCTTTTTAATATTCCCAAAAATATTTCTTTCTCTGGATTGTTCCCACACATGCATTCCATTAAGAGATTTTGTGTTAAGAGGTCTTTTAATAAGAAACTACAAGATTCTCTTAGAAGTTTATTTTCTGCCCAGACATATTAGTCTAAGTCTTTCATCTTGAAACTATGTACACTTCAGCACACTAATGCTGTTTCACCAATGCAAATAATCATTTATTGTTGCCCTAATCAAATGATGAACATTTAATTTGTAAACTTGGTCTCAAATCTTATTTGAAATCCTTTCTCAGTTGTTACTGACAGAGCAAACTGCCTGATTTCTCAGCCTCCATTCCCATATGTGAAAAATAAAAATAGCTAGTTATCTTCCTACTAAGCTTGTTATCTGTGGAAATGAAAGGAATAAAGTACATTTGGCATTCCGATGCAATTCATCTCACAGCACTAACATTCTATAAACAGCAGATTTTCTAGCTGCGTCATGGTGACTTAGGAAGTTGCTACTTCCTAAGTATTTGATACTACAGTTGCTCATTTATAATTGTAATAATTAATCACATTAATAATTTGGATTAAATAGAACCAGTACAATTTCCATGCTGGTTGTTTTGTGTATCTGTGCAAACACATGTTCTACCATCCTGGGCAATTCTTCACAGGGGTATATGCGTGCTTTGTGTAACAAGTAAATCCTGAAGGCCAAACTAAATACAAAGTTTGACAGATAGTTTTCATGTTGACTTGAAAGTGATGGCCACAGCAGGTCACCACAATTGAAATTGTGATCCCAAAAATAGGAAATATGGAGAGCCAGTTTGGTGGAGTGGGGAAGCTGCTGTCCTAGAAACCCCAAGACTGTGAGTTCTAGTCCCACTATAGGCATGAAAGCCAACGGGGTAATGTTGGGCCAGTCACTCTGTCTCAGCCCACCTCACAGGGCTGCTGCTGTGGGGAAAATAGGAGGAAGAAGGAATATTATGTCCACCACCTTGAGTTAGGATAAAAATCTAATAAATAAATAGAATGCTCCCATACACAGTTCTACTCAAAAATGATAAACAGTAAAACCAATGGATGTTAATTCCACTACAGTTTCTTTGTACTTGTTAGTCTCAAAAAATTACTTTTAAGATATTCAATCACAGTGCTAAAATAGTTTCCCAGAGGTTTCTGAATATAGTCCCTTTTCATGTACTATTTGTTTTAATTCTTCCATAATTTGATATGCCTTTGCTATGTAAAACATAGATCATGGCTAAATAAAGCTGACATTTTTATTTATTTTGTTATGTACAATGTACAGGCTGCTCAACTCCCAATGACTGAACGGTTCTAATGCACAGCTGTCGTTAGATTTTTGTAACATTACCTGTATAGGAAAAGATTTAGCAATTGAATTTGATGCAGAATGCAATGTTATGCCTTTATCTGTTATTGCTAATGATAGCTATTTTAGATTAAGAAGCTGTCATATGGCTCCCATATCTGGATTACAAAATTTCAGACAGCTATTGAGTGGAAGCAACATTTTCTATATCTTTATTGCCATCTAATCCAGATTGCAAAATCCAGGTTTTTGCAATCAAGATATAATTGTTCTCTGTAAACCAAGATAGGCTTACCTACTGCCTAAGGCTTATGGGAACATCTTGGTCAAAACATCTTTTAATGTAACCTTAGTGTAAAACTTGGTTCTGCTGGTTGGCTTAGGGACCCAATGAGGGTGCTTCATGCTGGAGATGGCTGGTAGAATGATAGAGATTCCGTGCCATACCAATCATAGATAGATTTTTTTTATTTGAGTTCTTTTATTTTAATGGTGCTATATTTATAATTTATGGTATGCTGCTCAGAGTTGCTTTGGAAAGGGAGATGGGCGGCATATACATTTAACAAATAAATAAAGTATGATAAATATTGTAATTTAAATTCTTTCCTAAATATTTAAATCCAACAATATCAGGTTTTAGAAAGTTAGGAATTTAAATACAGCTCCAGCTAGAATTTGCTCGAGAATTCCCTTTTTTTCAAAAATCAACTCTAACACCTGTGACATCTGGGAATGCAATGGATAGCAATGGGTTACTCTGAAGATATTTCTTGTCGAAAGGAAAGCTCATACTAAAACTAAAGGGTATTGAAACTAATTATGAACACAGACATCTGGCGGGTGGAGAATCTCTGATATGCTGTATAGCCATTTGGATTATAAATTATTTTTAAAAGGTATTAAGCTTGTGAAATGTAAATGTATTGGTAAACAGCATGACAGGTTTTGGGCATAGACCTGATATGATGGTAGGAATGTGTGAGTGTATCTGATTCTGACTTACTCAGGATGTTACTGCTATAAAAAGTTCTTTATTAGCTGTCTTGAAATTTTTGAAATAGCTTATAGTAAAAAATTAGAAAACAAATGTTCCAAACTGAAACATCCAAAGAATAGAATGGCAGCCCAAAAAAAAAAAAGCAAACAAAATTGCAGTCCCAGAAAAAAAGATGTATTTTGCATTTTAGTGTCTGATTATGTGCATGTTTTTGTTGTGTGTGGAATGTCCATCTCGGGGCATTGGTGCAAAGCTGCTTTTAAAAAAAAGCCTTTGAAGATGGATTCCTGAGCAGATCTTTTGATGGACCAGCAGCTGGCACGAGGTGGGCAGGTAGCTGAGACAGGAGAGCTCTTGGCTCAGTAAGGAGCACTCTGCCTTGAACCTGGAAGCCTCTGGGCAGCCAGTTCTCCTGGAAGATCGTCGGCCACGTACCCAGCGCCTGAAGGCAAGAAGCAAGAGCATTTCAGCACGGGATCAAGGGCAGTCCCACCCTCAGCTCCTTACAGTAGTCAAGCCCGAAGCTTAGGCGAGAGCGGCTGAACCTTCTTACCGCTTCCTCTCTTCTCTTCCCCGGCTCCGTCGCCTAAACCTCTTTCCGGGGCCAAAAGGCGCGGCTAGAAGGGGACACCCGCTCAGCTATCCACAGGCCCGATCCTGGCGGGAAAGCAGGAGAGAAAGGAAGGGGGCGGCGGCGGCGGCGCCTTCCCGAAGCCGAGCCGCAGCTCTTGGGCGCTGCATGGCTCCTGCCAGAGGAAGGGCGGGCGCGAGAGACAATGAGCCGGCGGGGTTACGCCGCAGCCTCATCTTTCTTTCCCGTTCCCGCCTTCCTGGCCGGTTGTTTCGCGTCCGCCCGGCAGCCAAAGAGGCCGGGCTATCCTCAGGTAGGCAGGGGGTTCCCGCGCCTCCTCTTTAAGGGAAAGGCAGGGTCAGGCGCAGCCCAAGCCCTCCTCCTCCTCCTCCTCCTCCTCCTCCTCCTTCCAGGAGCCTCGCCGGCTCGCCCGGCGCTTAAACTTCAAAGCAGCCGAGAGCTCCGCGGCAGTCCTGAAATGCCGCCGCCCACCTCGCTTCGGAGGGCTTTGCACGAGCGCGCCAGGAAGGAGCAGGGGGCGAGGACAAGGGGGCCTTGGCGCCGCCGCCGCCGCCGCCGCAGCAGCAGCAGCAGCCCGGAGCTGCCTCCGGAGGACCGCGAGTGAAGCGGGACTGAACGGCTGAGAAGGGAGGGGGGAGAGGGAAGCCCGAGGGAACCCCCTCCTCTGCTCCCCTTCACCCCGTAGCCCAGCACGCGCGCACCTCCCCCCCCTCCATTGATCAATATTTGGTCATCTTGCTGCAACTTGCTGCAGTGTTTTAACCGGGTAGTAGAGGGGGAGGAAGGAAGAGCCAGCGGGCGAGCGAGCGAGCGAGCGAGCGCGAAAGTCCGAGGCAGGCAGCAGGGCTCGTCAGGCCACTTAGCTCCCGATGTCCCCCGTGCTTTCGAAGAAGACGGCCGGGAGCATCCGCAAGCTGGCTCGGGAGGAGGAGGAGGAGGAGGAGGAGGATGCTGCGGCAGGTGATCCACAGAGGGCTCCGGTCGTTCTGCCACCAGCTGGGCTTGTTCGTCAGCCGGCACCCGGTCTTCTTCCTCACCGTGCCCGCAGTCCTGACCATCATCTTCGGCTTCAGTGTCCTCAACCGCTTCCAGCCTGAAATGGACCTGGAGCTCCTAGTGGCCCCGAGTCACAGCTTGGCCAAGATCGAGAGGAGCTTGGCCAACAGCCTTTTCCCCCTCGACCGCTCCAAAAGCCATCTCTATTCGGACTTGCACACCCCGGGGAGGTATGGCCGGGTGATCCTCCTCGCCAAACCCGGGGGCAATATTTTGCACCAGGCTGAAGGGCTGCTGCAGATCCACCGAGCCGTGCTGGAAATGAAGGTGAACCACAAAGGCTATAATTATACTTTTTCCCATCTGTGTGTGTTGACAAATCAGGATAAGAAATGCGTGCTGGATGATATAATTTCAGTTCTAGAGGATCTGAGGCAGGCTGCCCTCTCCAATAAGACAACTGCCAGGGTGCAAGTGAGCTATCCCAACACTAAATTAAAGGTATGCTCTTAATTGCATGCTTTTGCCGATTAAAGAAACAGCACTTCATTTCTTGTCCTCAGCAGCAAAGAGAAGCATTGATATTGTATTTGTTGTTGTTGTTTAAACGATAAGAGACAGCAAGGGCATGATTTTAACTGGGGATTCTGTGGGAGAGGGGGGGGATTGGAAGGGGAAAATGGAGCAGTTCGGAAGTCCTCAGTTCAAGCAAGAGCAGCAGGCTGTACTAGGAGTGCAGAAGTTGTGTAGAAAAATGCAACCTCTTGCTCCCAGCACAAACTGTCTTCTTTGGCACGGGAGCATTTTTAGCATAAACCGGAAGGGAGACTTTTGACAGGTGCCGGATAGCAAGCCGATCCTATGTAATGAGTTGCTGATCCTATGTAATGAGTTGCTGATCCTATGTAATGAGTTGCTGATCCTATGTAATGAGTTAATTGCAGTGATTCTGGGAGCTCCCTGCTCAAGGCCGAGGAGCAAGTCCAGAGTGAGAATTAGGAGAGTCTTACAATGGTGCTGAAACTTGGATTGGGCCACCAGTGCAGCCTAGTTGGAGGAAAGCAAAATGAAGAGGGTGGAATTAATTCTGTCCAGTTAGCAAATTAGTTGATGTTATTTCTTTTAATATTTTAAAAAAATGCTTCATGGCTATTTCCTCCTGGCGCAGTAGAATTTCTCTGGAGTGGATTGCCTCCTAAAAGACATTTCAAAGGCCGATACATTGCGCAGCAAATAGAATTTCGGTATAACCCAAGATGTTGACTATTGTTAGATGCCTTATCATCAATATTGATGATGTAGTGTTGTGGCCTTACCTTGATTACTAGCAAAGAATGCAAACTTTTAATCATCTTCAATATTGATAATGTGTGTCCTAATTTACAAATAATTTAGGTAACAGCACAATCATTGATTGTATCAAAACCAAAAAAATATAATTTTCTGCCACTATAGTTTTAGTTTTATCTACAGCTCAAACTTTGTTTTCTCGTGTGTTTTATGGCAGTCTTCTCTTAAGACTAGTGAAGATCTTAATCCACTAGTTGAAGATCAGACATGTCTCTGGAATCTCTGGCCATTTGATGAGCACAGCCCAATGAAAACTGGTTCTATTGCATTGACATTAATGACATTATTTGGTCATAGATGTTCTGATCTTATTCATATTTTCCTTGGATATAAACATCATTAAACTTGCCTTGGATTTACTTCCAAGTAATGTGTATAGGATTGTGCAGTGTAACTCTCTCCACTATTGCCCTTGGGAATTCTCAGTATTGACCTTGTCTGGACAATGCCATTTCATTTACTATTTTTTTCAAGTATAAAATTGTCTTATGGTAGGAAATAAAGTTCACTCAGGAAGGGGATACGTATTGTAAATAGTAGCAAAGTGTCACATTTTAGTTGTGGCAATATTTGTGCATTTTATTTCACATAAATTAGTTCCATTGAGAGGAACAATTAACATATGAAGTGGCTTTTGCTCTTTATGCTAAAATTGAGGATTCTAGAATATCATATACTTATTTCTAACTGTTAATTATTCTTTGCTAAGCAGAAAAACGTTAACTTAAAAGCTAATAAATAATTATTGCAGTTGTTTTTTTATCATTGGGGAATCTTTTTTTTTTTGCAGATCATAGTTATAAAATGATCAGGGCTCATGATCCCTCATGATCCCTCTGAGGGCTTTGGTGAAAGTTTAACTGATGTTGGTGGCATCTCTGATGAAGTCTAGGAGTTTGGATTACAGACATTACTTGAGCAGTTAACCCACATGATCATAAGCATCCATTCTGGCTGGATAACACAGATACCTTGTTCTTCCAGCAAACTGTGTCACTGAAGAATAGTGACATTTGGTGAAATGTGTCCTCACAGAAATGCTTTGGTGCCTAATCTATAGTAATGATAGCAAATCAATATCTCAGTTACCATTGGATCCTTAGAGAATCATCCATGTCAGTTTGGCAAATAGGAAGAAGTTTAAGAACTTTCAGAAGCACATTAAATGTTTGTAAAACATCTGGAGCATTAAATCATGACTCTTTTACACGAAATAGAAAGACAGCAATAGAAATAGAATCTTTGAAATGAAACCATTAGGGTTGCCAATAAAACCCATAAATGTGGACAAGAAACTTTGAAATATTTGGATTATCCCACCACACACACCATTATCTTTGTAATAGCTAGAAGTATCCCGTTGGGTAAAGGTACTGTACATTGTTTGTTATGAGAGAGGAGAATTCCGAGTGACTGGAAAAGGGATTGTGAAACTAGAAATAAGACTTTACTTGGAGATTAGAATAAGCAATAGTTACAAGCAGCGCTTTTTTTGTAAAAAAAAAAAAAAAAAAGGTGCCGGAACTCACACACGTCATACAACCCGCCTTGCCTACCCTACAAGGTTTCATCCAAAAAAGGTGCCGGAACTCCGTTCTGGGCGTTCTGTGAGAAAAAAAGCCCTGATTACAAGCAATTATCCATACTTGGAACTGAGTAATGGCTGAACTATGATAGGCTTTCTTTCTTTTTTTCTGGGTAGGCGGGTATTCTTTCAAAGACATTCTCAGAAATAAAGACTACACTGGAGAGCTGCTCTATGTTATACAGCATGCCAACTTCTCATTTTAAAATTAAATAGATTTTTAAAAATCAGACAGGGTTAAGAGCCTTCTGAACCCCAAGAACCATTGGCACTTTGGAGCATCATGTTATAGATTGTAGAACCAAGGTATTTTTCTCACTGGATTCTTTAAATTGAGAAAAGCAAAGCATGATGTTCTGATGTTTCTGTTTCTACTTAACCGCCTGATTCCACAAGTTAATGTTATGCTTGTGTTTTGATCAGTTTTGGATCTGTACCTAATAAGTAACAGAATAACAGAGTTGGAAGGAATTTTGGAGGTCTTCTAGGAAACCCCTTGCTCAAGCATGAGATCCTATATTAAAATCCTATATTTTAATCATTTAATCATTTTAATCGAATGGTTGTCCAATCTCTTCTTAAAAGCCTCCAGTGAGGGAGCACCCACAACCCATTTTACAGATTGACTGATTGTTCTCACTGTCAGGAAATTTCTCCTTAATTCTACGTTGGGTCTTTCCTTGATAAGTTTCTATGTTATTTCTTGTCCTGCTTTCAGGTGCTTTGGACAAGAAGTCTAAAGCATCTGAAGATTATGTATTCCCTGCTCTCACTAATTGGTCTATTTAGGTAGGGAGATTATTTATATATGGAGATTATAGACTCCTAAATGATTGGATTCATACTTTGGAAGTGCTTTTGGAAAATGTTGTTATTAGAAACTTAGGTAGCTTTTTTGAAATAGAGCTGATATGCAGTTGTGGCCTTTCCTGAACAGAAATGCCCTGGCCAATTGATGAGATTTAGGATTACTGCTATAATAGCTACATGTATTTATAACTATATAGCAATTGCCTCTCAAAAGCATATCAAATAGAGTTATATTATAAATTTTCTATGTTATATGTCTTTGAAGAGTGATTGAAAGCTTGGTTTCAGTTGAAACACAGCCACTAGGTGGAAACATTTTACTCCGATTCTGCAAGAGCTGTGTCTGTGCTCAGAGACTCAGTTTGTACATCATACTTAACTAGAGTCACTTGTTGAAATGGGCGGCTATAGAAATCAAATAAACAAAATAAATAGTTTAACCATGTTTTGATAAAATCACTGTTGGCTGAGTTTACATCATATACTAAGCCATAGTTTGTTTGCTTCTGACTTACATATTGTGCGAATTCAGGCACAGTGTTGTAATTATAAAGCTTAAGAGTGCTTGAGATCTAGTTATCTTTATAATTACAACATTGTGTCTGAATTCACACAATACGTAAATCAGAAATCGTGGCTTAGTATGTGATGCAGATTCAGCCAACAGTGGTTTTATCAAAACATGGTTAAATTATTTTGTTTATTTGATTTATTTATTTGATTTCTATCTCAACAAATGACTCTAGCTAAGTATGATGTACAAACCTCCCCCCCCCCACATCTCCAGCATGCTGTAATCATTGGTGGAAGATCCCTTTCAGATGTTCCTGGCAAGTTACATGATATATGTCAGTGATGGCGAACCTTTTAGAGACCGAGTGCCCAAACTGCAATCCAAAACCCACTTTGTCAGGTGCCGGGTGGGCATGGCCCATTGGGTGGGTGTGGCCCATTGGATGAGTGTGGCTCATTGGGTGGGCGTGGCCTATTGGGTGGGCATGCCTGCGGTGGTAACAGCAAATTGGATGGGACTAAAAAGTTCAATCAATCAATTCCAACTTTGCGAGATCTTTTTTTTCCCTGCGAGAAGTTGAAATTGATTGAACCTCTTTTTTTGCACACGGCGGCGGAGGCCTAAAGCGAAAAGGTTTTATAAAACCCAGCCGAAAGCCTAGGACTGGGGCAACGGTGCACGTGCCCACAGAGAGGGCTCTGCATGCCACCTGTGGCACGCGTGCCATAGGTTCGCCACCACGGATATATGTGGTGAATGGAAGTGAAACGTTTTCATTAATGCTGACATTTCATATATGCGAAATTCTCACAGAATTTTTGCTCATATTTTGGGGGGTTCTCTCCAGTTTTATCTGAGTTTTAAATTGAAATCTGCTACTAAAATTCTAGTCATAAAATACAGTATTGTGGAAACTGGATAAAGAATGATATATGTGTGTAGAATGAGTAGATAAATGAAACACATACCCTGTCCCCCAGTAATCGCAGGCAATTGTGCTCTGAGTGTCTCAGCTATACTCTTTACATGGTTAAGTAGAGTGTGAGCTTTCAAAATGGCTGTACTTTCTTATACTATTGAAAATAATAGTATATTAGTATGTTATTTTCAATAGCTTTAAATTCTAAGGTAATATGCTCTATGAGGTTTGGATAATATATACATTTTACCAGAGATATGTTCATTTAACAGATCAAGGACCATATTATTATTTTAGTCAGTGAAATAATCATTTTATCTATT